AATAGGTCTCTCTCACACGGAATGTGTATGTTGATCTTATTATCGCGAAACTTACCCTCATTGAGAACTTTATGCATCTCATGCTCTATGTATTTAAGAAAGCAAAAAAATGTGTTTTTTCGATTTCTATTTAAATTATTTAGTTTTCAATTCTTAATCAATATAAAATGACAATCAATCTTTTTGGTGTTTGATGTTAGGACCCAAATTAAAGGGTGATTTATCTGATACAGGGTTATGTAGGATAAAAGAGGCTACTATCTCTATTTGGATGACGATTCATTTTATCTAGAGTTTACTATCTTATCTAAAATTAATATACCCTGTGTAATATTGTTTCGATGAATAAAACATGTGATTTTCAAAAAACTACCTTTGAATAAAGCGAAAACAACATCTCTAGATACACTTATATCCAAAACTGCCTATAAATTTATATTAGATAACATTATAGAGGACACTGCCAAAAAATAGAGAATCCATTTTTTTATACTATACAAATTTGATAATCCATATCAAGATTAATTTTATTGAAATAGCATCCAAACTGGCCCATAGAGTCCTCTACTAGCCTAGGCACATTACCATCTCTCTTGACACATAATCTTAGTTTTGCGTTTCCAGATTGAAAATCTCTCTTTGTAATTAGAACTCAATACCTCAATCAATATATTCAAGCAAAGTGAAATTTAGTTGTCTTTTCTATAAATTGTATTTTCTGATTACATAGGATTTTGTGTGGATTACTTAGTCTCCAATTTTTAATTAATGTCAAATAATTGCATCTAAAACTTTCCACCAATTACTGCAAAATAATGGTATCTAAATTAGTTTCTCTCATGAAGTCTCTTACTTGCTTTATTACTTGCATAATGGAGTTCTACATTGCGGTTCTATGTTGGATGGCTGAGAATTGGGGTCAGGTATGCTTTATATATGAGTGATATCAATGTAAAGCTTTTCCTAGTGGACCTTGAACAAATCAAAGTAAGGTGTACCTCCAAATCCTATCCAACGATGCAATTTCGCTATCGACAGTTCTCTTGGCTATAAGTTTCCGTCCCCACACTTAAAACTTAAAAAATATTATAGATCGAGCAGATCTATAAACACTTGAAAATCTTGAAAATAGATGATCCAGATGATGTGTTATAAGATGTATTTTTTTAAAAAAATTTGAAATCTCTTTCTTCTTCGTGTCCCCACACCTCGAGGTTGAGCTGATCAATTGAAGGGTTTTGATGTGCAACTCAGTTCTATAATATAAGATTAATAGAAGGTTGACACGTTATATAGAATTTTGAAAAACTTGCATTCTATCCCCTATGTTATTTACAATTTACCTAAAAGTTTTTTCATTATTATGTTCGGGGAAGTTTTCTATGTTTCTCCTACCCCATAAGACTTATATACTTCCCCTTATCCAACCGTCCATTTTGAATGGAAGCCTAAGGTTGTCCCAATCACAATGTCACGTTTCTAAACTATTTTATTTTTAATTTTTTTCTATAAACTATTTTGACAATAAATTTTGGATGTCCAATCCTCTATTAAACTCGCAAGAGCTAAAAATATAAAAACAATATTTTCAATAAAATAAAATGACAAAACTACCCCTGAAAGTTTCAAGGGTCATTTTGGTCATTATATTTTATCAAAAAATTATTTTTTAATATTTTTTTATAGGTGCGCCCCAATGAGAAGATGACACATACCAAATTTCATATTCATAAAATTTGTACAAAAAAACTAAAAATAAAATACTTTGAGATGTCGGATCTAAGATCAAACGGTGAATAGCTATCTTGATCAAAATTGGACAGCTGGATGGTAGGGGAAACATAGATCTTCTATGCTGTAGGGGAAGTATAGAAACCTTTCTCATTATATTCATACACGTTTTTTTCACAAATTTAAAAATGACCAAATCACACAAATATTGGATCTTCACGATATGATATTGAACACATTCATAATTAAGTTATTCTTTAAAGGGTGCAGTTGGCATACAGATGCATCCGTAGCTGTAGAGGTAAGGTGCACCTTCAAATTTTATCATAGTATGTAATTTTGATGTAAAATGTTCTTAGGATTATCTCAAAGTCTATTTTTATATCTAATTGTAAAATTTTAAATTTCAAAAATGGTTAAAATCAAGTAGATCTATAAGCATATGAAAATCTTGAAAATGGACGGTGTAGTCTATTTTTGAGACTTAAAATCTTTTTATTTTTCATGGTCATACATATCGATGATGATCAATCAAAGGGTTTTTCAACATTAAAGCTACCTTTTCCGATAGATTTTTGAGGTACATCGATAGTTCTACATTATAAGGTTGCATCCTTCTATAAATTTTTTCCTTTTTAAGTATCATATATTCAAAATCTGAAGATCCGAAATTAAGGTTTTTTCTAATTTTTAGATGTTGAAAAATCTGAAATTAAGATTCTAGGCCGCCCCAAACGTGTATTTTTCAGAGGGAAAAATGACCAATTTGCCTCTATTCCTATTAAAAAAAAATATATGTTTTGTGAGTCAGTGGACTCATTGGCCCGCAAAATCACAAATGTCCAATTTTAATATGAACATCTACAACTAAATATTCCTATCCGATGGATAGGAAAATATTCTAATAAAAATGTTTCAAAATTTTATTTTATTATATTTATTTTTTATATTTATGATTATCAAGTGTGGATCATAGATCACTGCAAATTTGAATCCAAGATCGATACAAATAATAGATGTTCAAGGGAGCCCAAACTGGTATGAGTCCGGGACTCATAAAAACCGGGTCCCTTAAAGCTGAATTTGGGTCTCTGTCTCTTCTAGGGTTTCATAGGTGGGATGATGAGTTTGGTATTGTTTCTACCGTACAAAAAAAAGAGGTTCGTATTGTTTCTAGGGCTCAGACAGTAGGAATGGTGAGTTGAGCGCTGTTCCAGGGCTTAGCAGTGGTATTAGTGACTGGCGTTCTAGACATTGTAGAAACTAGGAAAACTTGTAGTGATTCTAGGGTTTGGACATTCTAAACGGTGAACTGGATAACGTTTACTGCGTTTGATAGTGGGGGACAAGGTGAGAAATGGTGATGGGGTTTGTGCTAATTGCTGAGAAGATCGACAACATGGCGAATTGAAACCTGGAATTGGGGAATTTGACGTGGGTGAATTTTACTTTTAGGATTTCTAGCACCTACCCGAACTCAAATAATTGAGAAAAAAGTTTGATGATGATGATCTTTAATAAGATTTAGAATTAAATATTGGAGTTTCAATGATTTTTTATACTCGAGAAACTAAAACAAATAATAGTTGTTTCTCCATTCCACGGTGGTATTCGAAAAACTAGAACAAATAATAATACTTGTTTCTCAATGCCACGATGGTCAAGATAAAGGATAGGTGAAATTGGGTGAGAATCAACTATCAGCCCTTCAAACTCCAACACCACCTTCTTTCCAAACCCTTACCCAATTTTTTTTAACCTTCTTTCCAAACCCTTACCCAATTTTGTTTTTTTTTGATAAAGTTACATATGGATGGAACTTGAGATGTTGTGCTATGAAAACCTAGCATCTACCGTCTATACCGAAGCCCAATTCCTAAACCCTTACTCAGTTCTTTTTTTGATAAAGGTTCCAAGCTTTATTAATAAGAATTACTAAAAGGAAATTAGTGGGCACTAACAAAGACGGCAAAAAAACCCCACTTTTAGCAAAGAAGTCAGCGACATCATTGGCTTCACGATAAACATGAGAGAAAGAAACAGAAAAAAGAACAGCAGAACCCATAATTTCTAGCCATAGAGACTGAAGTAACCACGAGGTGCGCGACTCCTTTTTACATCAACTAATAACATTTAAATAATATCCTTTACAAATACAACAATGAGCCAAATTTTTTGTGATAATGAGTTTACGTCCTTGCAATAAAGAAGCTAGCTCAGCATGATTCGCCGTAGTTGAACCAAGAATGCCCACGTAGGAAAAGGCAATCTCACCCAAACCATTACATAAGGCAACTCCTATGCCAGCCAAACCAAGGCTGCCAAGACAAGTTCTATCAAAATTAAGTTTGGTGGAGTCCAGAAGCAACAAGGTCACATCTTTACGTTTCCCATAAGAAACATATTTTGCAAATTAACCATGACATCCACGTGAGAAAGGCCCCAACCATCTTTAGTTACCAAGTACCAATGCCAAATGGAGATCTTAATGTTGTCTAACAACCGGTCAAACGAAAGGCTAATATCGTCAAAAGTACGTCTATTCCTTTCCTTTCAAATTTCCCAAAGCATCGCACCGCGAGCAATGCACCAGACCAAAGAACCTCCAAAAAGCAATTGGTAAAAAGAAAACTGTGAAACAATATCCATTGCCAACCATGGAAGAGAAATGCGGAACCCTCATAAACCAAACAACCAGTACCAGATTCTAAATGCAACATTGCAATGAAGAAAGAAATGATTCCCATTCTCTTCAAGTTTACACTTCAGACAAATGTTGGAAAACACTTTACCCCTTTTGATTAGGAATATACCACTTCCAGATTTTAACCACACGGCGTAGAAACCATCTCCATCTATCATAAAAAAAGAGCCTATAACAAAATTTTTAGCCACAAGGAATAGAGAACAACTTCATCTATCATGAAAAACGAACCTATAACAAGATTTAACAGAAAAAGTACCATCAGTTTCCGCTCTGTTTTCAAAGTTTTTGTCCCCAATGCACCGAGTCATCGTCGAAAATTCAGCTTGTTTTACGTAATACTTCACGTAAATTTTCATGCTCCATACTCCAAAAAAGAGTTTCCTCTCTCTAAAACAAGCGATGACTCGGTAATGAAATCTTTGTCCCGATGTACGCATGAAATGTACGCGTAGCTGCATTTTGTTATTTAAATTGTGCTAAAATTATCAGCTCTCTTCACGATTAACATGCAACACTCTTTACAAAAGGAAGCAATAAAAAAAATCAACTATATCCATGGAAGTTGATGGCAATGCAATAAGCTTTCTCGCTCAAATTTTGGTCCTCCAAGTTCCTTTATTTTAATGATGGGGTTTAATTAATTAGGGTATTCTTTTGACTCAATTATATCATCATAATCGTCGTTGAAAAAAAAAAAAACATAGGGGGGGACTCGGGCCTTTTTCAAGGTGCTGGTTGTCAACACTTAACAATCCTATCGGGCTTCGTCCCATATGCCAAATTACTTGTACACCTTGATTCCGAAGGACCAAGGTTGAACTAGAGGCTCTTGGTTAGCACTAAGGGTATCAAAGTTGGTCGACCAATAACTGTTACATCCTTGGATTCCTGAGGTGAGGGAAGCTTTGGTATGGATGTATTGAATGCGTGGTCCAAATCAGGCGACGTTGCAATCTAAGCCTTTGATTGTTTGGCGGCGCCAGGTGGCTGTCTCTGGATCAAATCGTATCTCCCAAGTGGGCCAGTAATGCAAGTCTTGCTTCAGAGTCAACACACGTGGCTTCCCATTCAAGTGGACAGTCCGTACCCTAACAAAGTCTCCATGCTCCAATCCCTGTCAACAATTATTTATGAACAATTAATAGATATACGTACAATCCATAAGTTTGTGTACATAGACGTGTGTGTATAGAGAGAGAGAGAGAGAGGCGGGAGAGAGAGAGAATTTCTGTATTGTGAAAACCAGGCCAGGGGTAGTATAACGTGCAAAGGCTTCGCTCAAGAGCAACATTAACCAACACAGAGAGGTCAAAGGTAGCGATCATTTCGGAAAGCACATCAAGTAAGAAAGCCTAGTCCAATCTTCTAAGTTATGCAAGATTTGAAAGGAGTGTTTTGCCATCTTAGCATGCAATTTATGGAGGAATTTGAAAGCAGCAGGTTGGTTTGACATAGGTCCCTCTTTCTACAAGTGCTGATGTTATCTGGGTTGAATCAACGTGCCCCTACAGAGAGGAATCTCTCTCTCAGAGAGGAATCTCTCTCTCTCTCTGGGTTAAATCAATGACACCTCTACACGAGAGGAATCTCTCACTCTCTCACACACACACGGACACATATATGTGCACTTGCAAATCAAAACCTAGTCATGTTGATATTACAAAATATGGCAGGTTGTAAAGAATGGGGGCACACCTTGGTCACATCCACGAAGGTTTGGAGGTCAGGAGTTGGATTCCCATTCACCTCAACAATCCATTGCAGCGCGTAAAGTCCATATCTATGCACTGGGCTTCCATGACACCACCTGCACATGAAAGTTTTGGTCTCTAGTTCAGAGTAAGAAATACCTTGGAAATCGACAAAAGTTGGTTTAAATATGGAGTATTTCGAAATTGATAAAGACAATATTCTGTGAAATAACTGATATAATACATATGAACTTCAAAAAGCTACATACAAAAGATAACTGGAAAATGACCACATGGAGTTTTTCTAAGTGAGAAAATGGAATCAAACCCTTAATGCTTTTTCTTGGACGGACCAAGAAGACCATTATGGGTAAGTCATTATCCGCATTCGAGAACAGTTCTGGAGCCCACATCTGCTAATCATTAAGCCAAGGTAGGGATAACTCTCTTTCATAGCAAAGGAAAAAGGGCGGAGTAAAACTACAAACTCAGTAAAGCAAGTGTATTTTGAACTTTTATGTGACTGAAATGAAACAAACACGACTGAAATAAGTTTTACCTTGCCACATAAACACCATGCCCTTCTTCAGGAAGAAACCCTAATGCACGGACAGCCGAATGAGGATCTTGAACGATACATCCACACCAATTCACCATGCGGTTTGTGCCATTGCCATCTCTAATATCTGTGCCCACAGAAAGCTCAATTTCCAAGCCCTGTGAACATGAGTTTCCACCATAGAAGGAAATCAGTCGGTCTATCTTCCCCTTATATTGAATGAGAGATGTTTAGATTTTCATTTTTGCATTGCTCGGTCCAGATGCAGCTAAATAGGAGGTAGATTTTCCTCTCCTATTTTAATAAAACATTATGCAGGGTAGAAATTTAAGAGAAGGCATCATATCCTATTGCTACAAAAGGTTTAGTTATAGAGTAGAAAGCTGGAGAACTAGCATAAGCATGTTTTCCCTCGCATTTCTAAACTAACAAAAAAATTGGTGAAAAAATGGAAAAGGGTTTCTTTTGTCAACTTTCAAGGGTTGTACCATTATATAGAGATAGAGATATTGGAGGAGATTGGCTAATATGAAGTGGAGATATATAAAGGGAGCTTATATAAAGAGAGCTTTCCATTCCATTTTAATGGGGCTAAACAGATTGTAGAGACTGTACATAGAGAAGGTGCAGATCAGGAGAATTGTGATGCCTCACCTGCCTAAATATTGTTAGGTTTAGTTTGCCTTCACTGTCCTCAAATTTATCCAACTCCTGACATGCATATTCAATATCACGAAAACAGGTGATTGGTTCCTTCTTAATTGCCAGCAGCATGTCACCTTGTTCTAAAAGGTTCTCGGCTTTAGATCCTGCCAAACAACCTTTCACTCGTAAGACTTGCCTTCTTATGGTATCTTTTTTGGCAAGAGCCTGCAAGAAAAGAAAAGGAAGAGGTGGAAGGTGAAAGACATTCAGCAGACACAGAAATACAAGCAAATATGAATCAAGCTCTAACAGAAAAGCAACTTTATTATTAGGGGTTAAGATGACAATAATAGTAAGTTTAAAAATAGTGTGCATGTATGCATGTGTGGGCATGCATGTTGTATTCACGTATGGAATAGAAAACACACAATGAGAATTAAACTCATTGAAGTTTAATATACTTCCTATCTGCACAATCCTGAAAACCCACAATAAAAATGGTGCAAATCCATGCAGCCAAAATGATTCTGTACATTCAGATGATTGAAAATAAGACGATGTGCATCTAACACCAGCAAAATAAGAGCTTTCCATCCTATTGGACTAAATGAACTGTGGGGACTGTACGTAGAGAGGGTGAAAAACAGGAAAATTGTGAGTACAACTGACACTGGCGAAATAAGACGATGATTAACAATTTTGTGTTACTCAGCAATATTAATTGGACTTGCATATATTGCTACACATTTGTTCCACACCAACTCCTTCACACAACCATGTGATAAAGCAGTCACAGTATGATAGAAATCTAAAGGCATCCAGTAAACCAGGCAATCATACTTTTAGCCTTTGTCAATATAGGATAAGGGAGCAATTGGACCATGACGTGATCATGCACAGTAGTAGAGTAGTGCAAAATATGAAGTGAGCATAAACAGCTTGAAAAAATGAATCAATATAAATTAACGTAGGGGGGTGGTTGCCATTCTGCCTATATGAACCCCTACGACGAGGTAATGACTTGTAACGACTTCAAAGTATAACTTGTTTCTCATATTAAGATATTTATAGTAAGTTCTATTTCAAAGTTGAAATAGTTGTTGAAAAGAAAATTATTTAACTACAACACTTTGAAAATAGGTTGTCATGGTTCACAAGCGTTTCTGATATGTGAAAGGATTCAAGATTCAAGAGACACCAATTACTAAGATTCACCATCTATAAGGGCCTATACATACCCGGACCCATTCATCACTCAAGCCAAAACTCCTTGCCTTAGAAAGCAAAGTCGGATACAGTTCAACCTCCAGAATTCTGGCGAGTGGCATTGGCATTTTTCTGCCATTTATGAGCAGCGGTGGTCCCTTGACCCCACAGATGATCTTATCAAGGACCTCACTGATAGCATAGATTGGGATCCCCCGAACAAATTGATGATCTTCAGAGGAATTGCAGCCATATTTCAACTGTAAATGCCAATTTAAATTAAAACACATCTAGATCTAAAACAATAATGAAGAGAGTATTGAGTAAAAATACCTGTGTAGAAAAACTGGCCCACAGTGCCTGGACCCTACCATTCTCATCTGTCAGCACACCGGAAAATGTACTTCCAAAATCTGGAGAAATGCAAAAGGAAAATCCTTATAAGAAATGGAGAATTCCAATTAAGTCAAAATTATAAGCTTGAATCACAACCCTATCACAGCAAAAGCGGATTGGACTGACAGACCAGTGTCAAGCTCTATAACTTCCATGTTGGTTGCTCTATATCGTGGGCAATCAGCTGAGCCGATATTTAAGGCAGCACAAGGGTTAGTCACAGTAGATTTCCTCGATGTTGCTTGGAGATTTCTACTTAACCCAATAAGGTAGACAGAATCTCCTCGTCGCAAGGTAGGCTCTAACAAAAATAAAAAATTTCATTACATTTTGCCGGTCAAGTGAAAATCATAAAAAATGCATCATCTCCTCGAACAGAATTGCTGGCTGGAACCAGCACGTGCCGCATGCAAATATATAAAATTCAATAATAAAGAGGAAGGGCTTCATCAAGCATCTCGACCCACAATGGAATGTAAGAACTAGCTTGTTGAGAGTTAATGACAAACTTTCTCAGGATTTAATAGTGAACTGTATGTCAACCAGAATGATCGGAAAAACAAGGTGTAAATCAGGTACATCTTATATGTCCCTAAAGAGAGTGACAATGATCTCACCGCTCATCACACAACCTTGAAGAAAGAGACAAATGCAAAGTTCAAGAAGTAATTGGAATGACATAGTTCTTTACTCAAGAAGGAAGGAATTATATACATTTAATGTCTCAGAGGCTTATCTTACAGGGGCAGTTATATGATCGACAAGGAGAAAAATGCAAGTTAGAATTCCTATTCCAAAGATGCATAAAATAACCTAATTTAAGATGTACATCTGAAACTTAGAAGCACATGGATAAGCAAACACTGCAGCAGCCAGAAAAACCAGCATATTGATTATTAAGTATGAAATCAAGGACAATTCATGGTTATGCAAAGCTAGGGAGCAAGAAATCAAGGATACCATTACCCCCTGGGGCGCCTGCCCAAAAAAGAAAAAGGGAAAAAGAAAAAGGAATAAAGGATACCCATTCATTGAAAACAGTTTTAATGCACAAAAATTTTAGAATAACATCAAAGTATGATATGGTCCCCAAAATCAATGATTGCTTCAGTGGGTTTTAATAGGCATGCTTCAACAAGTCATATTCTAATATATCATAGAAGTTCATTGACATTTGAATATTTCCGTGGCGGCATGTGTAACATGAAATACCAAAGTTAAATCAGGCACAAAAAAACGCAACTTATGGGAGAGAACAGTCAGGTCATGCACTGCCTAGCTCTAGATCGATCCCTCCAAAAACTTCTCATGCATCTGAAAGCCCTACCTCCCTTTCCTTTTCTTTTCTCAGATAAGTCTTTCATATTCACTTGTATGACCACCTTCACCATCTGGCACATGGTTGTTGGGATCAGGAGCGGGAATGGCACCGGGATCGGGATCGGGATCGGGATCGGGATCGGGATCGAGATCAGGATCAGGATCAGGATCGGGATCGAGATCAGGTGCAAGGGATCATGAAATGCTAAAAGATCCCTATGGTTGGGAAGGCCGTCCGTACAATGCACATGTTAGGGATCGAAATTCCAACCTTTTGGGGATCTTGATCCCGACCTTCTGGGATCTTGATCCCAACTTTTTGGGGATCTTGTTACCAACCTTAAAGCATATGATAATCAAGGATTATGTACACTCTTTGAAGCAAGGATCTCATTATTTATAACAAGCAAGCAATACTTGTGTTGCTAGTTGGCTATAAACAAAGAAAATCATCAGTTTGGTCGTTGTCTTAGTCTTTAAGATTGGGATCGATATCCCTAACAGCAACAATCAAGATCCCTATCTTTGGGGTACGAGATCCCAAAATTTAAAATTCGAGATCCCTTAGAGCTCTGTTCCGGGAGCGACAAAATCGAGATTCTAGAAGGGATCGCCTACAAAAGTAGGAGATCCCCATAACTATGATCTGGCAACCAAGAGATACTTGTCATCACCTGATACATTTGAATCTCCCGTTTCAAGCCTTCAAGCAGAGGACACGCTATTGATCCATGGCAACCATAAACAGAAAAATATTAACCGACAATTGACGTTAGGGCTTGACGAATTGGGTATGTCTTCTAGGGTCTCTAGTACTTGAGAGAGACTGGTAGGGAAGGGAAGAGTTTTAGTAGGGAAATAGGTTCATGGATGGGGAGGGCAAGAGCGTAAGGTTCTAGATTAACATCTGCTATGGGGATAGAAGGCTTCTCAGTCCTTTGAAGTTGGACTCCTGTTATTCAAAGTTTGGCCCCTTGCTCAACTTCCATGTAATAGGGAACAATGACAACTGACCATCTTTCTGTTGGGACTGATTGGTGAAAAATCAGCAAGGGTTTATAACATTTACAGCTATTGTGCATTCATATCAATATAAACAAGCAATGGAACTACACAATATCAAAGTAAAAATATGGAATGAAAAATCCAACAACATTCAATCCACAAAGCACAAAGATTTAACTTGGTTCGGTCACAAATCGTGACTTATATCCACAGGAGAATGACCCGAGACTTTACTTACTGATTTGGGAAGATTACAAGGTGAAATCGAGCTCAAAATATCAATTTCCAGCAGTCCTTTCTCACTCTAAACAGAGCCCAAAAACAAAGCACCAAGAACACCCAAAAAAATGGGTTTTCTTTAACACTTTCTCTCACTAAAACAAGGCACACAGCCAACCCATAATAGAGTTCAAGTCTTTTGCTCACTTTCTCTCTCTAAAACAGAGCGTACCAAGCTCTCAAGAGAAAACCAAATTGCAGCCCAATCTCTCTATTAATTTCTCTCTCTAAACAAAAGCGTTTTACTCCCTTTAAAAGAATAAAGTTCCTACAACACCACAACCATTGGATTAGATGCAATCCAATGGTCCAAAATAAAAGAGAGAAAATTTAAATAAAACTCCCACATGTGTGATTTGCTTTCACACATGTAACAATCTCCCACTTGAAGACAAAACACAAAGTCTCTGAAATAACCACCAATGCACCACTCTCCATCCACCCGAGGTTACGTCTCCTCCAACCCCGAAATTCTTCTACACATCGCATTCTTTTCAGTTGAGACAACCTTTATCAACATATCAGCAAGGTTCTTCTCAATGTGAATCTTGTCCACCTACAAAACTCTATGCTCGAGGGCCAATCAGATAAAATGATATCTAACTTCAATATGCTTTGTCTTAGAGTGGTAAGCTGCATTCTTAGCCAGATGAATCACACTCTGGTAATCACAATGCACAATATATTTATCTTGTTTCACCTCAAACTGGCCAAGTAACCTTCTCAACCAAATCGTTTCCTTCGCTGCCTCAGTCGATGCCACATACTCAGCTTCAGTTGATGACAAGGCAACAATATCCTGCAACCTTGACATCCAACTTACTGCACCACCACCAACATTGAAAATGTATCCAGTGGTAGACCTTCTAGTATCACGGCATCCTGCATAATATGCATCTACATAACCAACAACTCCCAATGATGAATTTCCAAAACACAAGCATACATTTCGTTTCCCCTTCAAATACTGAAGAATCCACTTAACTGCCTACCAATGTTCCCAACCTGGATTAGACATAAATCTGGAAACAACTCTCACTGCATGAGCAATGTCAGGTCTAGTACAAACCATTGCATACATTAAACTACCCACTACAAAAGTATATGGAACATTCTTCATCTTACTTTATCTATCTCATTCATTGGAGAGTCTCTTTTAGCCAACTTGAAATGTGCAGCTAATAGTGTAAAAACAGGTTTACAATCAATCATATTGAGGCGCTCAAGAACTTTAGAAATATATTCAGATTGACTTAACCAAAGCTTACATTGTTTTCTGTCTCTATGGATGTGGAAGCCCAAAATCTTCTTGGTTGGTCCAAGATCCTTGGTGGCAAAATGCTTGGACATATCAAGCTTTAAACGCTTGATTTCACTCAGATCATTGCTAGCAACAAGCATATCATCATCATAAAGCAACAAAACAGTAAAAGAATGATATGTTGAACCTTTGAAGTACACACAATGATCAAAATCGCATCTAGAATAACCTTCACCTAGCATAAAACTGTCAAATTTCTTATACCATTGCCTAGATGCTTGTTTCAAACCATACAATCCCTTTTTCAAGTTGCAAACCAAGTTAGGATTGGTTTTGTTCTTAAAACCTTCAGGTTGACACATAAAAATTTCTTCATTGAGATTACCATGCAAGAAGGCAGTTTTGATATCAAGTTGTTCTAGCTCCAAATTCAAGTTAGCAACCAAAGATAAAACAACTCTCATAGAGTTACGCTTAATCATAGGAGCAAAAAATTCATTAAAATCAACACCTGGTTTTTGCCCATAACCTTTCACTACGAGTCTGGCCTTATATCGATAAGACCATTTGCCTCCCACTTAATAGCATATACCCATCTATTCTTTAATGTTTTCTTTCCATGTGGAAGTTCCACCAACTCCCACGTATCACTCTTATGCAAAGCATCAATCTCCTCCTCCATTGTCTTATGCCACTTTGCAGCATTAGGGCAATAAATAGCCTCCTGAAAAGACTCAGGCTCACCACTATCAGTACACAAAGCATAATATAAAGAAGGCGAATACCTTTGTGTGGGCTTGTGAGGGCGTGTGAATCTTCTCAATTCTAGCTCAGATGTAACTGATAACCCTTCGTCATCTTGAATTAACTCAGTGTCATTCTCATAACTAGCATCACCTCCATCAAAATTGTCTTGAGCTTGAGCTTGACTCTCTTGCACTTGCCGAGGTGAAACAATGGGATTTGCTTCTTGTATATCCACAATAAGCCTTTTTTGTTTCGGCTCTTCCTACTTCTTTTTCAGCAAACATTACATTCTCATTAAAGAGAATATCTCAACTTCTAATAGTCTTCTTTGCAACAGGATTCCAAATCCTATAACCTCTATCATCACCACCATACCCAAGAAAAGCACATCTTGACTTAGCATTCAGCTTGGCTCTACTTTCACTGGGCACTTGAACATAAGCTTCACACCCAAATGTTATCAAGTGTTCATATGACACACTTTTATCTCTCCATAGAATTTCAGGTATTTCACCATTCAAAGGTGCACTAGGAGAACTATTGATCAAATATACAGCTGCATTAACAACTTCTGCCCAAAATTGCTTACCAAGACCAAATTGTGATAGTATGCTTCTTACTTTTTCAATGATGGTCATATTCATCCTCTCAATGACATCATTTTATTGTGGTGTCCCAGGAACAGTCCTTACTCTGGGAATGTCATTCTCTTTACAAAAAGTATCAAAAGCATTCGAACAATATTCACCACCAATATCTGTTTGCAAGCATTTTATAAATCTCTCTGTTTCTTCTTCAACCTTGGCTTTGAAAACTTTGAAAACTTCAAAAACTTGATCCTTAGATGCCAATGGATACAACCAACACTTTCTAGAATAATCATATAAAAAAGTGACAAAATAAGAAGCTCCACCAATAGATTTAACATTAACAGGGCCACAAACATCAGAATAAATCAATTCTAATGCTTTACTTTTTCTATGAGATTCATTTCTTTTAAAACTCACTCTACGCTGCTTACCCATGGCATAATGATCAAAAAAATCACGAACATAATGCTTAGAAATAGGAATAAGATTTTGAGTTTGCAATTCCTTCATACCATGCTCACTGAGATGACCCAAACGGCTATGGCAAATTTGCATATCCTCATGCTTACTAGCTGTAGCTACGATCTTCTCTGCAGCATCATTCCTTTGAGTTGTGCCATGAAGAGTGTAGAGACTCCCATCTTTTTTCCCTTTCAACAATGTCATACAACCTCTTGAAATCTTCCATGACCCATTTCCAAAAGTCACTATGAAACTAGTGTCATCTAACTGTCCGACTGAAATGAGATTTTTCTTCAACTCAAGAACATACCTCACATTTCTCAATGTGTGCTTCTTTCCATCTGATTGTTTGATAACAACATTTCCAATGCCCACCATCCACATCTGTGTAGGATGAAAAATATGACATTTATGGGCAAACATGAAATGAAGCACCAGAGTTTAAAATCCAAGTATATGCAATAGACAATGTTGTGCATGCAATACTAAAAGTGACCCCATCTTCACCATCTGAATCTGTAATTGCTTCGGCATGGCTATCCTTGACCTTAGCCTTTTGCTTATTCGTCAAAGCATAACAATCTTTCCTTGTGTGCCCAGATTTCTTGCAATACCAGCAAGTAACTTTCTTACCCTGTGACTTGGACTTGCCTCTGCTATGAGAATTGCCCTTATTAAATCCATAGGGTTGGTCTCTATATTGTGTTCTTCATCATCTCCTACTGCCAATACTTGATTTGATTTAGTAAGTATTTGTGTGGATGCCTTTCTAGTCTATTCATTTAACAATGAAGCTACAATATCTTTTAAATTAAACTTGTTACCCATTGTATCAGTCACAGTGGTAACCAAGGTATCCCAATTAGCAGGCAAAGAACTCAGCAAAAGCAAACATAACACTTCTTCATCCAAATTCACTTTCAAAGACTTCAATCATGTAGAAATTGAATTAAATTCACTCACATGCGACCTAATTGTAGCACCTTCTTTCATTTTCAAAAGAAATAATTTTTTCATCGCATGCATTTTATTTGCACCAAAGGTTTGCTCAAAAGATTGCTCTAAAGATTGCCAAAGCTTTGCAGATGTTTTACATTGACAAACATCAAATAAAAATGATGGTGAAATACATGGTTTAATAGCTGCCAAACATTTTCGATCAAGAACATCCCATTCCCAATCTTCCATTCCAACAGGCATGGCCCGCTTACCTTGAAGTAGCCAATCCAATTCATTTCCAACAAGATCATCTTCTATCATCATTTTCCATATTGGCCAATTACATTGATTTAATTTTTCAAATCGCATTGCCCTTTCCATTTTCAAGAAAAAATATAACAAATAACCACAATAGCAAAAAAACCCCTTTCTTCACAGACACAATGAAGAACAAACCCTAAGCTTTGATACCAATTGTTTGGGTCGATTGGTGAAAAATCAGCAAGGGTTTACAACATTCACAGCTATTGTGCATTCATATCAATATAAACAAGCAATGAAAACTACACAATATCAAAGCAAAACTATGGAATGAAAAATCCAGCAACATTCAATCCACATAGTACAAAGATTTAACGTGGTTCGATCACAAATCGTGATCTACATCCACGGAAGAATGGCGCGACACTTTACTTACTGATTTGGAAAGATTACAAGGTGAAGTCGAGCTCAAAATATCAATTTCCAGCAGTCATTTCTCACTCTAAACAGAGCCCAAAAACAAAGCACCAATAACACCCATAAAAATGGGTTCTCTTTAACACTTTCTCTCACTAAAACAAGGCACACAGCCAACCCACAATGGAGTTCAAGCCTTTTCCTCTCTCTCTCTAAAACAAAGCATACCAAGCTCTCAAGAGAAAACCCAAATTGCAGCCCAATCTCTCTATTTCTCGCTCTTTCTCTCTCTAAACAAAAGGGTTTTAATTCTTTTAAAAGAGGAAAGTTCCTACAACACCACAACTATTGGATTAGATGCAATCCAATGGTCCAAAATAAAAGAGAGAAAAGTTAAATAAAACTCCCACTTGTGTGATTTGTTTTCACAAATGTAACACTTTCAGCTTCCAATCATCCAATTTTAGGCTTGCATCTTTAGCCTATGTAGCAGGAAATATTGTCAAAAAGGTCAACGAAAATCTAGACATCCAAAATGCAACATGCAACCGAGGACTGTTGGCCAAGAAAAACCTTGAAAGACAAAAGACTATATCCAGGAAAATGTTCGACATTGCTGATTCTCATCAACAAAAGGTTACTGAGACATAAATGCAGATACACTTATACAATGCATCTGCAAACTGAATATGAGGGTGCTGCAAGTAAGAATTTACATGTGAGCTCCCCTGATCAATCGATAAGCCCATATATTTATATATGCAAAGGTACATAACTCTAAAGGGCCAATAATTCATTTTCTGCCAATTACCAGCAACTCTCTCAAGATCAAAACATAAAGGGTGTGGTTTGCATAAGGTTGCAACCTTCAACAATCAAATTAAGATGCACCTTCATATTTCGTCATGAGATGTAAGTTTGGCATCGAAAATTCTAAGAATGGTGCGAGAATCTATTTTTATCTCTAATTATAAAAATTTAAAATCCAAAACTGGCTCAAATCAAGCAGATATATAGACGCATGAGAATCTTAAAAATGGATGGTTCAAATAATGCATTGCAAGAGGTACTATTTTTAGGACTTGAAATCTCTTTTTTTCTCCCTATTTAAATCTCGATGTTGTGATGATCAAATTTTATATTTTAATGTGTTGACCTAATGTAAACTTTTTCCAAGCAATGTCCTTGAATTTAAATTCACAAGTAGGAATACACATGCTTGGCCAAGAAAATAGTCCCAAACGTGATCGTAAATATAAATGAAGCATAGGTCTGCCCCATACAGAATCAGCAATCTAGAAAAGAACAGGACCGCACAATAACCAAATTTCAATAGGTTCAGGACATCACATAAACATAACCTCAATTAAATTAATGCAACCAGCCAACAAGCTACTTGAAGTTCTCCAATATGCCGATAACATCACACAAGAAACAAAATATAACCAAAAGATATTGAGAAATTGTTGATTTGTAATTCCCCACTACATAGTATCTGCAGTTGAGATTTGGATTGCCAGAGTTTGGCAGATTAAGTTGTAGCTGAAAGCTTCTTCTCACCCACCTCCCCTCACATACACACAGGCTCTCTCTCCACACATGCCACACACTCAAGACCCTGAATCATTAGGTAAGGAAAGATAAAAAAGACTATATTTCGAGTGAAAAACATACCAGGAAGAAGTTCAGCTGCGCAAACAACGGCAGCACCTGCTGTTCCTAAAGCAGAAGGATCATAGGCAACCAGAGCATAATTATGCACTGGGTGGAGAAAAACAACCTGATGTGCAAAGGCAAGGAATCTTTAGTGGGTCTATTTCAAGTCTAATTCTCACTGGAGTTAGACAAGCTCAAAATCAGTAACTACCTCCCCAGGAATTTCCATTGGAAATGCAGCAAATGAAAGCATTACATCAGAAACAGATACAGCTACAGTATTTTTGTCAACAGCAGCCAAACCCATGCTTTGTGAATGATAGACGATAACTCCTGTTCCGAAAAAATGTTGTGAGTGCACACCATCAAGCATGCATGACGGTGGTACATGCACCTGCAATTGGTTAGTGATTTCAACAGTCAATAGAGCCTGAAAAGAGTAAATAACAACATATTCTAACTCATTAACTTATTACCTCCTCTGATAACATCAGAGACATTAATATGGCTTTTTAATAAAAAGAAAACAGTTAATGATATGATCATCAGGAGAGATTTGAAATTCCCCGATAGTTAAATAGCAAGAGAGTAAAAAGAACACAATTATGAATTTCTAACACTAATTTATGCATGTGGGCCCTTTCCTTTCAAATAGAAATAATAATCATATGCGTTATCATGTCAGCAAAGAATATGTTAAAATTCCATTCTTTGCTGGAACATTTGCTTTCAATTTTCTCAATAGTTTTCCATTTATGTAGTTCATATATCAATCAAATCTAATCATCATTTTATAGGTATCATCTGCTTAAGTGATAAAAAATCAGAAAGAAAAGGACATGCTGAGTTCTGCACTTTCAGGATCTCAATAACCATATAATTTTGTACCTTTTCTACAGGTACCAATTTAAGTTTGTTGATTGTAATTTACTGTGATAGGCATCACAGACTCCCAGGAAACAATTGAAAGGGCATCTCAACATTTTTGCTGATATCATGCCCAAGAGGCATCAGTGACAAAGAAGAACCACTAAATGGGCTCAAAGAAATTTGGGTTACGAAATAATGGAGGTGCTTTCTGAGTTTAATAAGAAAGGTCAAACTTTCCTAGCATTTATAGGATGGTTATACTGAGTTTAATAAGAAAGACCAAACTTTCCTAGCATATAGGATGGATATACTGAGTTTAATAAGAAAGATCAGACTTTCCTAGCATTTATAGGATGGAAATATGGTGGAGGGAAAAATTATACTTATTTTTATTTCTATTCAATTTCAAAGGATGTATATTTTGATTTCAGTACTGTAGCATGTACGGAGTTACTGTAGCGCCACTTTTTTTGGCTCCTTAGGCTAACAAAAATGAGGGGAAGTTACAGTGGGGTCTAGGGTTTGCTGATTTTGGCTAAAGTTTTGCCAAAACAACCTAGATCTTGTTGATTTCAGCAATTTTTGTTGATTATTTATCTAGGGTTTGTGATTTCGGCAAACCTATGGTAGCGAGAAGAGGCCCTATAAGGGGATTTTTGTAGATCCACTCCTTGATCTCATAGATGACAAAATTGAGGAACTTGAAAGGCAAGTACAACAACTGGCACAGCAGTTCGCGAGCCTCATTAATGAACAAGAGGATCTCGAGTACAAGACTTTTCACTTTCGCGCTCCGAGTGTGGAGTCGGGTGATGAGGATAGCGATAAAAGCCTAGATGCTGAAAACATCACTCTAGGGTTTTCGATTTGAAGGATGAGATTATTGATTTTGATATAAATTGCATAAAAAATCAGCAAGTTGTTGATTGCAATTCACCACCAATCTTCGATATTATACTTAGATGAACAACAAGATATCTATGATAAGGATCAAGATAATGATAAAGAGATTTTGGAAGAGGGTGAAGAATATGGAGAGAAGGCAACAAGGAGGACTAATCCAAATCATGGCCTTTTAAGACCTCATTAATATTGTAGAGGTGGAGCATTCAAGAGATTTAGGGCATTGGAATCAGAATAATGGAGTGTAAGCCTGGTCGATTCCCAATCTGCAAATTGTGGCCCTGATTCCTCAATATACATATCAAGATCCGTTTATTGAGGAATTTTTTTTACCAGGAATGATATTTGAGCCAACAAAAAAAAGAAAGTTGAATAAGGTATTTTTTATGCTGAATTCATCTTAGCACACTTAAAAACTTGAGGATGAGTTTTCTCCAACCAGGAGAGAATGATGGATGGAAAAATTATACTTATTTGAATTTAAGTTTTTTAGTTTCTAGGAATTCTTGGGTTTTTATAGTTTATTTATTTAATGAGTATTATTCACAAGTACTATTCATGAGAGCAATTCACGAGTTCTATTCACATGGGTAAATTTGTCATTACAAAATTTAAGTTTAAATTAAGAAATATAAGTCATTTTAATTATTGTATGAGAATTATAATATATAAGGTATGTGGAGCCTTGAGAGGCTCAATCACATATAACATATAAGGTGTGTGGCGCCCTGGAACCCTAGCTTGAGGCATAGAGAAGAAACCCTAGGTTTCTTTGACTTGTGCTTTTGTTTAGCTTTGCTCCTTGTTGTTTTTACTATTTCCCTCAAATTTCCCTGCATCAATATATTAAACATTATCCCATTTCTTATGCCACAAAATCCAGAATAATGTTAAATTTAGATGCATACTTTACCTCAAACATTACTAGAGTGGCTTCTATTACTTGTTCGGCCTTTGAAGCATTAGCTGCAGTTCCACCCCAATCATCCATAGGCTCAGTATTATCCAAGTTCTGGGCATCTTCTAAGATTTCTTCTCTTGGCTCGTGTATAGAGTCTGATAACATCCCTTGGTCTGCTAATTGCTCCTGCATTCTTCTCCTCTTTGTATCCCCCCTTTTGGGGTCATTTGATTCTTCTTGAAATAAGGGTGTACTGGGACTACTTTCACCACTAGTTTGTATTCTACCATTTCCATTCATTCCCTCCATCTCTGTACATGAGGTTCTGGTTTCAAGAATACCAGATTCTCCACCAGTTGATGCTATTGTCCTACACATTACTTCTTTTTCATCATAACTGACAGTAGCAGGGTTACATAGTGGCTGTGAGGGTATTGCAGGCCTCGGCATCCACAAACCAGTACTATCATTTCGAGTGTATATCTGCGCTGGAGCATACCATTCATGACGGTCAACAGTTACCAGAACTGACTGCAAACACAAACAAAAGAACGAAATTTGTAACATATTCATCAGCAGCTAATAAAGCAGAATGGCATTTTTTAGCAACATAGAGGCATGTTCTATTCTCAGAAAGTACAACACTGTCACAAAAATAAATATGAAGAGATTCTACCAAATACCACTTAAGAGTTCTCTCTCTGCATTGATAAGTCTCTTCTCACCGAATAAAATGAGTACAGCATGTATATGACACGTATGCAGCACATATCAACAAAAGGAAAACAGATTTACAAAATATTTCAAACGCCCATAAATGCTTGAAGCCTCAGACCAGACTAAGTATCAAGTTCCCAGTCAGTTTTCCATGAAAATATCGTTACTTCATATTTAAAGGAAGTGGAATCTCTATAACATCCCTGAAATGCCACCAATCTCTGATGGTAAGACCCTGCCATATCCTACATGGCCCATGCATCAAAAACAGCAGCGCACTTCTACCATCAAATCTATACAGACTTGATGCAAATTAACTTTGGCAAGAAGTGTTACATTGATACGTCCGCAACAGGGACAGCACTTTTAGAAGTGAGCATCCTAAGTGTGTTCGTGTTTTGTGATTTTAAAAAAAAAAATTCGATTTGCAATTCCAGGGAACAGGGAAAACATCCAATTTTTGATATGTAAGATTTGAAGTTCAAAAAGACTGAAAATGTCAAGAAAAGAAGACAACACATGGAACCAAATTACTAGATCATAGGATCAAATACCAAATTGGATGTAAGATGTCAAGTTCAAAAAGACTGAAAATGTCAAGAAAAGAAGACAATACATGGAACCAAATTACCAGATCATAGGATCAAATACCTTGTTTCTATGACGATCCACATGGCTCACGTACTCTAAAGGAACCCTAGCACCTCTGGATAATTTGGATAACACAGCTAGAAGTTCATCGACTTTAGCTATATCTTCTCCTACAAACTTCTTTATTATAGCATGGCGAGGAACTCCAGCTCTGGAGAGCATGTACCTGCATTTTACAAAATACCATCATCGATATTCGTGCTGAATAAAAAAACTTGGTCAAAATGTAAATTAGAAAAAATTTGCACACCAATTGTTTCCAATTAGTCAAGGAACTATTGTAGTTCCCTAAAAAAAAAAAAAAGTTTTGAAGACACCATTTAGAGCAGTGTGAACTATAAATATAAGAAATAATGTTTCTAAAATACCTGGACCTGTGACCCATAGAATCATTCTCATTAGGGAACAAAGAAATCTCCAGATAATTATATACCTACATAGTTCCTTTTTATCTAGTTGCCACACTTATCCCAAGTGGTCTATTTTGTCATGATCCACTCTGAGCCATGTAGGCTCCCATTGCCACTTTTCATCAAGTTAATAGTGTAGTGTAAATTTGTTACACTTGTGTAGTTTGATCGTGGGTTTAGCTATTGCATACTCATAAAGGGAAGTTCAATTTTATCTTGACATCATTAGGGTGTGATGGGTAGATTACGCATCAGGAAGCTATGGGTAAACAATCGGCTCTGCTACTGGTTCACATGCCCTTGCTTATGATGCTTGTACTCATGGCCCCGCTCACGAATCAAAGGCCAGGACTATACTATACTATACTGCACTATACTACAGAGCTAGAGCCAACAAGTTGAAGAGTAAGTTCGCTTCCACTTAGGGGGCCTTGTCTCCTATACATATATCCAAGTGATAACATCACAAATGCCATCTTCTTGGCACTAACAATTGAAAACCATTTTGTCACTATTCTCCTCACATCTCCCAATCACATATCCAAATGATAACATCACAAATGACATCTTCTTGGACTAACAATTGAAAACTGTTCATTTTTGTTACTCACACATGCACGCACGCATGCACATGCACCTGCTGCCAGGCCCAATCAGCCTTAGGTCCAAAACAGAAAAGGGCCAGCCTGTTGCCAGGAAATCAGTCTTATGTGAGACGGTCAATGACCTCACTAAACCACCAGGCAGAACAAAATAATCTTGGATAGGGACAGGATGTTTCCTAGTCAAAAAAAGAGATGAGATATTATGAAGGAAAAGAAGAAACAACAAACTATACCTGGTCATTCACAGCAAATGCTGCAAATTGTGAACCCAGTTACCAATTAAGGTGATGTTGGATTTCACACTGCAACCTTTGAATTGCAAAACTTGAAGCTTGAATAGAACCCATAACCAACAAAGTGAACAACCCAGACCAATTTTTTCGTGAATAGAAAATATTTGATGATCTCCATAAAAGGCACTACTATGCCTTTCAGGAAAAAAAAATTGACAAAGTGTCCATAATGGTAAAGGAAATATTCTACAATCATGAATGGTCTTGTTTTGGAAATGAAATCAAAATGATATAGCAAATATTCTGAAATCAACAGTTCAGATTGGGAAGGATGTGATCCCTTCTCTTATTCTGCACTTCATAAGTCCAAATCTCCTTATATCCAATATTAATATTCTTTAGAAACAAATAATGCAAACATAGGACCATACATATGGCAATTGTCACAAGGGCTAACTTTTCACTTAGCCAAACCATGCTACACCAAGCCAAAGTCAAAACAAGACTATAGCAAGGCCAACCTTCCACAAAGCCACACAAAAGGAATGGAGCAGACAATCATACGACACATGCACAAGCACTACACGAAGGGTCGTGGCCCTTACTCTATGCACTTGGTTGTATAAGCCATGGATGCCCCTCAAGGGTCAAGGCAAGGGGCTTATATAGCCTCATTGCCTGCATCACATTACTGCCCACCGCATGGTTTGACAGTTACATCAGCCCATGCATGCCCCAACATCAATGAGTGCCCATATGGCTAATCAAGGGGGAGAAGGTTTACAGATCTAGCCTACCCACTGAATGGGTCATTATTGCCGATGATGCCAATTCACACAGGCAAGGTCATTACAACCCACTCAGTTCATTGCATGTGCACTCACCCAATCTCACATGGCCTATGGCCATGACATAAACCATGCTTGGAACATTTACACATTCAAAATTCAAAATTTTCCCACAACAATAGAGTCAACACACCTGCCCAGCCAGGACTGTGGTCAAGCGCCTCTTGCACGTGGTCCACCACATCACCTATCAAGTTAGGCTGCCATAGTCCAACAAATTACGCCTCAGCTTGTCAGTCTTGGATGTCCACCAAGTCCGACTGACTTAAAGACAACTTCAAAAGAAAAAAATATTATGAAAAGCCCCAACTCAACTTGCACAACTCCAATCCCTAAGAAGAAGGCCCTCTCTCCATGATTAATTTTAAGTCTGTTTAGCCTTTTACAACGCCATCCATAAGGTGACAGCATTATGGCTAATAGGCTAAAGTTAGTCCTCAACCATATCAATAGCCCAAACCAAGAAGCTTTCCTTCTGAAAGGAGTGGCTATGTGGAACTCAAGGTGTTCTTTTCTTTAATTCACTATACCTGAAGTCCACTTACATGGGCCATTATGTACTGCTGTAAATCAAAACTAATACCCTAGATGCAACCTAAGATCTTTAGCAAGGCAAATAAAAAAACATTCAGGAGCATTAAACAATCTTCCACTATAGTTTTGAGTACAATATATGTTTCTGAAAATTCATAGAAAAATGTGAAATATGGCTGAAATACTAAGATGAATTATGAGAAGATTACCCCTCAAAGGGCTCAACACAACCCACACCTGATTAAGTCTTGCTGGAATTTCTGAGATAGGAACGCTTTACGGGCAATACCTTTCAATCTAGGGTTTTAGAGAGCTCAAAAACTCAACTAGGTAGAAACCCTATAGGAACAAATTAGAGCTGAGTTTGTGAGTTGATCTCTCCCTAAGCTGGGCATCTCCCTTCTTTCTTCAAAAATACAGCCACCTCTAATTATTGAGTTTCACATGCCACCCCCTTATTTTATTTTCTTTTTGGTGGCATGAGAGAATATGGAAGAGAGAGAGGTTGGCATGAGAGGAAGGGGAAATATGGCAAGAGAGAGATCTTTGGGGCATGTGAGAGAGCGACGTAACTTGGAGTGTGAGAGAGAGATCTTGGCATGGGAGAGAGATCTTGTCATAAAAGATATTGACAGAGGTTCAAAATAGGTTTAATTAGAAACAAATCTATGTCCCCCTTTGAATAGGATTTCTTCCAAGTATGCCTTATTTGTATTTTCTGGCTAGACCATTAGGATATTTAAAAAATCTGTGGGGTGAGAGAGATTCAATCTGAGCCATCCATCCCACAAATTAGTCATCATGATTGGAAAATAGGAACCTTATCCTCTTATATTTTGACCCATGTCCAACTTCTATTTAAATTTGAATTAAAAAAATAACCACTTTTAGTATTATCGATATCTTCCAAAATCTATAGGAAGTCAAAGATAATCTTTTAAGGAAAAATTTTATACAAGGTTGCAACCTTAAAATGTAGAATTAAAGATGCACCTCAAAAATCCACCGGAAAAAGGTTGTTTTAATGTTGGAAAACCCTCTAATTGATCATCGACATTGAGATGTAGTATGAATATGAAAAAAAAAGAAGAAGATTTTGAGTCCCAGACATAGTGCATTTTGAAATATATGATCTAGACTGTCCATTTTCAAGATTTTCATATATTTATAGATCTACTTGATTTTTACCTTTTTTGGAGCTTCATATGTTTATAGATCTACTTGATTTTTACCATTTTTGGAGTTTAAAATTTTATAATTAGATATGAAAATAGACTTTGAGATAATCCTAAGAAGTTTTTACACCAAAATTATATGCTATGATAAAATTTGGAGGTGCGCCTTAATTGGATTGTTTAAGGTTGCAACCTTATAGAAACCACACCCATCTTTTAAAAGTAAAACTCCCATTTGAATAGGAATCAAATCTATTTTAATTTTAAAAGATTCCCTAACTAACTAAACTTTTCACTAAAAGTCGAATAATAAAACATATAGGGGGGGTGTGCCACCCCCCTATGGGCATCACGTGGGCCCCTCAAGGCCACACACCCCACACATGGGCGGCACACACACATGGGGGCAAGATCCTTGGTCCCCACATGTGGCCTTCCAAGTTTTGAAAATTTTTGAAATTGCCATTTTAATGAATTTTACAGTATAAATAAATTTTTAAAGTTTTGAAAAAAATTGTAAAACATTTCTAATACCAAAATAAAATATATTAGAAATGGTCTGCTATTAATGGGTCAAAATTAGCAACAATAAGGGCACTCCACTTGACCCAAGAACCATGATCCACTACTGTTTTCTTATCCAACCCAACAACGACCCATGACCCACAGTCTCACGGCAAGAGCTCATGATTGGCTTGTCCAACTTCAACAATAAGCAATAGGACCATGATCTTGGAATGCAGATTTCAGTCCCCCCTTTTAAGCGCAAGTCTAACACTTGTCACCACAGTGCAAAAGGGGCTCTCTATGCACATGTACACGTGTCCCTCTATAGGGCTACTTCCCAGTAATGCAATTGTCATGTGTATATTCTGTGAGAAAGGTTGTTGAGGCTTTGGGTTTTGCCCTCATAGACCTAAAACTGCATACAGGAGACCACACAGTTCTCCTGGACTACAAACATCATCAATGGGCATCTCGCCGACCTCAACAAGGGATGACCTACTATCATATGCCTAGGGGTAAAGGTTTTTGACATAATCAGGGCCATAAACCGCCCAACTCTGTGTTAGTCAACACACACACTTGCTGAAGTGCATATTCCATAATAAAAATTCATTTTTACAAGCTCTCTAGGCCTTTAAAGGCCACAAAAACACAACACTTTCAAGGGTGGAGCATCTTTAAGAAAGCCTTCATAGCCCACAAACTTACGTACAGTATGGCTAATAACAACAAATAAGCTACTTTTGCCTTAAGGTTGACCTTCACAAAGCTTTTGACAACGTTAACTGAGACTCTCTTAAACAAACTAAAAAGATATGATTCTGGGGAGTCCTCATCAAGTGAATCAAAATGGG